CCTGGAACTAAGTCCCGGCGAAAGTACGCGGGGAGCGGCGGGGAAGTGCCGGGCTCGATCCCGCGCCCTCCGCGCGTTGCATAATTGCTGCACATGGTCTCCCGCCCGCCCGCAGCCCTCGTGGGGCGCGCGCTGTCCGCCCCGGCGCGGGGGGTGTCGCAGCCGTCTTTTGTGATGCCCGGCGCTGGGCACAGTTTGGCAGCGGAGCGCGTTGGTCCTGCGGGCTCTGCGCGGCCCCCTGGCCTGTTCTACCGCCGGATCGGCTCCCCTGCCCGCCCCTTCCCCCTCCGGCTGCGCTCGCCGCGCCGATCCGCTGCCCTTTCCCGTTTCTAATGGAGGTGAAGCGTGGCTTCGGGTGGCTCTTTTTCCCACGACCAACCAGAAGCGGCCCATCCATCTCCCCTTAAGGACATGAAGGCCCCTTTCGGAAGCCATCCTCCTGGGCTCCGCGGCCCTGAGACCCATCCGCATGTGTTCGCGATCCGCCCTGTGGTATTGTGTATTCTGGGGGTCTTCGCCGATATTTTATTTGCGAAGTACAGAAAGGACGTGCCGGGGCTTACCCTTCGGTCTTCTCGCGATTCAGAAAGATGTTAGAGCCGTTCGCTTCCCATTTCGGATTCTGGAACAAGTATGTGTGTGACTATGTGACCATTCCGTCAGGACCTTGGGAATCTGTAAAGGTCTTCACTCCGAATGCTCCTTGGAGTTTTCGGATGTGGGGTGGTGCCAAAGCACGAGGGTTACCCAGTGCAGTCATGTCAGACCGCATTCCCTCTTAGGGTACAGCTCCCTGTCCTCCAGAATCGGGGGTCCCCACCCTTACTTCCCGCAGAAATATTTTTTCAATAAATGTAAAAGCTGGATATGGCTGAAAGGTGTGCATCTATGTATGTTCTCATTTTAGAAAAAGTTTCAGAACGTGAGGAGGAGCATAGCGAGGTTCAGATGACAGAACTGAATGTTTCCCTGTTATAAAAACGCACGTGAATAGTGGCGTTTGCGGTCCTGGCCTGGGAGATGCTGTTAGAAAGCTTATCTGGGTAGTTCTCCCGATTTAGGGCAGAACTCCAGTTGCTTTCATGTTACCAGTACTATTTTTAGTCAGATCTTTGCATTTTTTATGGAACATGGTGGGATTCTTTCACCACAGTCTCCAAAAACCGAATTTTACCTGTAACAAGCAGAAAATCTATGTATTTCAGCGTCTTTGAAACTGTCATTTGGGAGAGAGACTGTGGTTATAACCCTGAGATTTAAGTGTGTCTTCCCTGTAGATGAGATAATTGGATTAGATTAGCTATTTAGAAATTTAATTTTAAAATGCTAAGTTAGACCATGTTTAAGGAGTTTTGATTCAGGAATTTTTATTCATGTGTACTTTAGAGTCAAGACACACATTCAATACAACTAGTTAAAATGATTTATCAACTGCCTTTTCTTCCTGAAAATTAGTTCTGAGTGGTACAGTATCTTTTTACTATACTTTTTCTGTAGTCCGGCATTGCCTAAGCA